ATCAGTAGGCGAGCTATGTTGTTCTCTATGTTATCAGTAAGAGAGCTATGTTGTTCTCTATTTTATCAGTAGGCGAGCTATGTTGTTCTCTATGTTATCAGTAGGCGAGCTATGTTGTTCTCTATGTTATCAGTAGGCGAGCTATGTTGTTCTCTATGTTATCAGTAGACGAGCTATGTTGTTCTCTATGTTATCAGTAGGCGAGCTATGTTGTTCTCTATGTTATCAGTAGGCGAGCTATGTTGTTCTCTATGTTATCAGTAGGCGAGCTATGTTGTTCTCTATGTTATCAGTAGGCGAGCTATGTTGTTCTCTATGTTATCAGTAGGCGAGCTATGTTGTTCTCTATGTTATCAGTAGGCGAGCTATGTTGTTCTCTATGTTATCAGTAAGCGAGCTATGTTGTTCTCTATGTTATCAGTAAGCGAGCTATGTTGTTCTCTATGTTATCAGTAGGCGAGCTATGTTGTTCTCTATGTTATCAGTAGACGAGCTATGTTGTTCTCTATGTTATCAGTAGGCGAGCTATGTTGTTCTCTATGTTATCAGTAGGCGAGCTATGTTGTTCTCTATGTTATCAGTAAGCGAGCTATGTTGTTCTCTATGTTATCAGTAGGCGAGCTATGTTGTTCTCTATGTTATCAGTAGGCGAGCTATGTTGTTCTCTATGTTATCAGTAGACGAGCTATGTTGTTCTCTATGTTATCAGTAGGCGAGCTATGTTATTCTCTATGTTATCAGTAGGCGAGCTATGTTGTTCTCTATGTTATCAGTAGGCGAGCTATGTTGTTCTCTATGTTATCAGTAGGCGAGCTATGTTGTTCTCTATGTTATCAGTAGGCGAGCTATGTTGTTCTCTATGTTATCAGTAGGCGAGCTATGTTGTTCTCTATGTTATCAGTAGTATGTTGTTCTCTATGTTATCAGTAGGAGCTATGTTGTTCTCTAGTTATCAGTATATGTTGTTCTCTATGTTATCAGTAAGAGAGCTATGTTGTTCTCTATGTTATCAGTAGGCGAGCTATGTTGTTCTCTATGTTATCAGTAGGCGAGCTATGTTGTTCTATGTTGTTATGTTGTTCTCTATGTTATCAGTAGGCGAGCTATGTTGTTCTCTATGTTATCAGTAGGCGAGCTATGTTGTTCTCTATGTTATCAGTAGGCGAGCTATGTTGTTCTCTATGTTATCAGTAGGCGAGCTATGTTGTTCTCTATGTTATCAGTAGGCGAGCTATGTTGTTCTCTATGTTATCAGTAGTTGTTCTCTATGTTATCAGCGAGCTATGTTGTTCTGTTTATCTCTATGTTGTTCTCTATGTTATCAGTAGGCGAGCTATGTTGTTCTCTATGTTATCAGTAGGCGAGCTATGTTGTTCTCTATGTTATCAGTAGGCGAGCTATGTTGTTCTCTATGTTATCAGTTGGCGAGCTATGTTGTTGTTATCAGTAAGCGAGCTATGTTGTTCTCTATGTTATCAGTAGGCGAGCTATGTTGTTCTCTATGTTATCAGTAGGCGAGCTATGTTGTTCTCTATGTTATCAGTAGGCGAGCTATGTTGTTCTCTATGTTATCAGTAGGCGAGCTATGTTGTTCTCTATGTTATCAGTAAGAGAGCTATGTTGTTCTCTATGTTATCAGTAGGCGAGCTATGTTGTTCTCTATGTTATCAGTAGGCGAGCTATGTTGTTCTCTATGTTATCAGTAGGCGAGCTATGTTGTTCTCTATGTTATCAGTAGGCGAGCTATGTTGTTCTCTATGTTATCAGTAGTTATCAGTAGCGAGCTATGTTGTTCTCTATGTTATCAGTAGGCGAGCTATGTTGTTCTCTATGTTATCAGTAGGCGAGCTATGTTGTTCTCTATGTTATCAGTAGGCGAGCTATGTTGTTCTCTATGTTATCAGTAGGCGAGCTATGTTGTTCTCTATGTTATCAGTAGGCGAGCTATGTTGTTCTCTATGTTATCAGTAGGCGAGCTATGTTGTTCTCTATGTTATCAGTAGGCGAGCTATGTTGTTCTCTATGTTATCAGTAGGCGAGCTATGTTGTTCTCTATGTTATCAGTAGGCGAGCTATGTTGTTCTCTATGTTATCAGTAGGCGAGCTATGTTGTTCTCTATGTTATCAGTAGGTATGTTGTTCTCTATGTTATCAGTAGGCGAGCTATGTTGTTCTCTATGTTATCAGTAGGCGAGCTATGTTGTTCTCTATGTTATCAGTAGGCGAGCTATGTTGTTCTCTATGTTATCAGTAGGCGAGCTATGTTGTTCTCTATGTTATCAGTAGGCGAGCTATGTTGTTCTCTATGTTATCAGTAGGCGAGCTATGTTGTTCTCTATGTTATCAGTAGGCGAGCTATGTTGTTCTCTATGTTATCAGTAGGCGAGCTATGTTGTTCTCTATGTTATCAGTAGGCGAGCTATGTTGTTCTCTATGTTATCAGTAGGCGAGCTATGTTGTTCTCTATGTTATCAGTCAGTAGCGAGCTATGTTGTTCTCTATGTTATCAGTAGGCGAGCTATGTTGTTCTCTATGTTATCAGTAGGCGAGCTATGTTGTTCTCTATGTTATCAGTAGGCGAGCTATGTTGTTCTCTATGTTATCAGTGTATGTTGTTCTCTATGTTATCAGTAGGCGAGCTATGTTGTTCTCTATGTTATCAGTAGGCGAGCTATGTTGTTCTCTATGTTATCAGTAGGCGAGCTATGTTGTTCTCTATGTTATCAGTAGGCGAGCTATGTTGTTCTCTATGTTATCAGTAGGCGAGCTATGTTGTTCTCTATGTTATCAGTAGGCGAGCTATGTTGTTCTCTATGTTATCAGTAGGCGAGCTATGTTGTTCTCTATGTTATCAGTAGGCGAGCTATGTTGTTCTCTATGTTATCAGTAGGCGAGCTATGTTGTTCTCTATGTTATCAGTAGGCGAGCTATGTTGTTCTCTATGTTATCAGTAAGCGAGCTATGTTGTTCTCTATGTTATCAGTAGGCGAGCTATGTAGTTCTCTATGTTATCAGTAGGCGAGCTATGTTGTTCTCTATGTTATCAGTAGGCGAGCTATGTTGTTCTCTATGTTATCAGTAGGCGAGCTATGTTGTTCTCTATGTTATCAGTAGGCGAGCTATGTTGTTCTCTATGTTATCAGTAGGCGAGCTATGTTGTTCTCTATGTTATCAGTAGGCGAGCTATGTTGTTCTCTATGTTATCAGTAGGCGAGCTATGTTGTTCTCTATGTTATCTCTAGGCGAGCTATGTTGTTCTCTATGTTATCAGTAGACGAGCTATGTTGTTCTCTATGTTATCAGTAGGCGAGCTATGTTGTTCTCTATGTTATCAGTAGGCGAGCTATGTTGTTCTCTATGTTATCAGTAGGCGAGCTATGTTGTTCTCTATGTTATCAGTAGACGAGCTATGTTGTTCTCTATGTTATCAGTAGGCGAGCTATGTTGTTCTCTATGTTATCAGTAGGCGAGCTATGTTGTTCTCTATGTTATCAGTAGGCGAGCTATGTTGTTCTCTATGTTATCAGTAGGCGAGCTATGTTGTTCTCTATGTTATCAGTAGTCGAGCTATGTTGTTCTCTATGTTATCAGTAGGCGAGCTATGTTGTTCTCTATGTTATCAGTAGGCGAGCTATGTTGTTCTCTATGTTATCAGTAGGCGAGCTATGTTGTTCTCTATGTTATCAGTAGGCGAGCTATGTTGTTCTCTATGTTATCAGTAGGCGAGCTATGTAGTTCTCTATGTTATCAGTAGGCGAGCTATATTGTTCTCTATGTTATCAGTAAGAGAGCTATGTTGTTCTCTATGTTTTCAGTAAGCGAGCTATGTTGTTCTCTATGTTATCAGTAGGCGAGCTATGTTGTTCTCTATGTTATCAGTAGGCGAGCTATGTTGTTCTCTATGTTATCAGTAGGCGAGCTATGTTGTTCTCTATGTTATCAGTAGGCGAGCTATGTTGTTCTCTATGTTATCAGTAGGCGAGCTATGTTGTTCTCTATGTTATCAGTAAGCGAGCTATGTTGTTCTCTGTTTTCAGTAAGCGAGCTATGTTGTTCTCTATGTTATCAGTAGGCGAGCTATGTTGTTCTCTATGTTATCAGTAGGCGAGCTATGTTGTTCTCTATGTTATCGAGCTATGTTGTTCTCTATGTTATCAGTAGGCGAGCTATGTTGTTCTCTATGTTATCAGTAAGCGAGCTATGTTGTTCTCTATGTTATCAGTAAGCGAGCTATGTTGTTCTCTATGTTATCAGTAGGCGAGCTATGTTGTTCTCTATGTTATCAGTAAGCGAGCTATGTTGTTCTCTATGTTGTTCTCTATGTTATCAGTAGGCGAGCTATGTTGTTCTCTATGTTATCAGTAGGCGAGCTATGTTGTTCTCTATGTTATCAGTAGGCGAGCTATGTTGTTCTCTATGTTATCAGTAGGCGAGCTATGTTGTTCTCTATGTTATCAGTAAGCGAGCTATGTTGTTCTCTATGTTATCAGTAGGCGAGCTATGTTGTTCTCTATGTTATCAGTAGGCGAGCTATGTTGTTCTCTGTTTTCAGTAAGCGAGCTATGTTGTTCTCTATGTTATCAGTAGGCGATATTTAAAGAGGTTTCAGTTGAATCTTTGATTATTAGGGCGTGATAGGGGACATCATGACAGCTACTTTGATGTTTAAAGAAGTTTCAGCTGGAGGTGATGATTAAGACGTGATAGGGGGCATCATTACAGCTACTGTGACGTTTAAAGAGGTTTCAGTTTGAATATTGATGATCTGGATGCGGTTGGGAAAACCACCGCCCTGTAAAGGCTAAAAGTTTTATGTTCTTATTCAACTAATTCTGAAATAAAAAAAAATATTTGTACAAGATATGTTGTGACCACCCTATACAGATTTAGGCCATATCCACACGAAAGTTCAATTCCGTAAGTTGGAAGTGTGTTAAGAACTATGCTTTAAACAAACAACTATTTACCATTGTCGTTCATTTTCTAACTTCAGTGAGACTATGGGTGACCAGAACTTCAGTCTTCAGAATCAGACGACGCTCTTATTCAACGAAAGCGAACCTACCAACTTTACCAATTATACCAACTCGGACAACGAAATGCTCGCTGAGATGTATATACACGGAATCGTTTGGCCAACCATTTCATCCATTGGTATTGTGGGTAACATTTTGTCGTTTGTGGTAATAGCGAAACTTGCGAACTCTTCGTTCTATCTCTGTCTCGCGTGTCTAGCCCTATCCGACATGGCTGCATTGGTTGTCGGAGTGACCGTATTTATTGTGGAAATGACGGGATCGGTGTTCGAAAGCCCTGTCCAAATTTACTGCTCTGCCATCGAGGCATGCTTGAGAACATTTTCCCAATTATCATCGTGGATCACAGTAGCCGTCACTGTCGATCGGTATATAGCTGTCTGTCATCCATTAAAAAAAAATCAGTATTGTACCAGAAAGAATGCGCTGATTATCATCGGAATAGAACTCCTGGTTATTGTTGCTGTCAATATTCCGATCATATGTCTTGAATGGGATGACGAGTATTCATCCTGTGTTGTACCTGGATTCACTCAAAACTATTGCTTTGAATATGGTTACTTTATTGATCTGTCTGTTTACGTTCTTATACCCTTGGGTTTAATTTGTGTCTTCAATGTGTTTATAATCAAAGGAATCTACACTTCAGCAATTACAAGACGCAAAATGTTTTCCATCAATGAAAACATGGCTAACACTGACGCCACGAAGGATTCAAAGATGAAAACAATTACGATTTTGTTCACCATCTCTACGTTCTTTATTCTGTCTTTTCTGCCTTTTATAGGTTTATCCTTCTACGCCATAGTTTTAAACAAGCATTGGGATGAAATTAGGGAACAATTCCCAATCCCTTTTGCTATTACATATATAGGCTCGGTATTGAATCACTCTATCAATTTTCTTCTGTATGGTTTATCGGGACAGCGTTTCCGGGAAAAATTTGTAGAAATATTTTGTTTTCGTCGTTTTGTATAGGAAAGGTTAAAAAGAATACAGCTGTTTGTTCCATACTTAAAGAACAATTAAAGCCATTTCCTTTGGGCCGAAGATGAGAACCTGTTTCTCAAGACCAATTAACCGCTATAGAAAGCAATGAATTTTCATTTTTTTTCATGAATATGTGAAGTAGTACATTAGTGTAAAAACTGTTCAATTTAGTTCGGCAGAAATCAATGCCAAAATATTAATGGGGAGGTGTACTATCTACAAAGCTCAAAAATGATAAATTCCATTATTGTCAATAGTAGGTGTTTCAAAACAACGTCAAGTATATCATGAGCTTGTAAAGCACTACCAAAGGAATTAAAACATGAGGGTATTGAGGCAAAATTTGGAGATTGACATTTACCCATATTTGAACTGTATATAGAAATTTAAAATTCCAGAAAGCATACCCAAACACTGTATTCCTTCTTTGACTTTTCAGTGATGCAAGGTGCCTGAAATATCAGGAGGCGAGACGTAATACCTAAATGTCAAGCAGTTTTTCTTCGTGCATGTATCTGCATTTGTTGACTGTAGCCACCGAGAGTTTTCTATGAGCTTGGGTGTAAAAGTTTAATTCCATCTCTTATACGTACACTATACGCTCTATTTCAAACACTCAGCGCGAAATTGTAGATATTATACCAGTATAGTGTAGACTGTATATAGACTATTTCCCAGAAAACGATTGTGTCGTTACGAACTTGATATAGAAAGTAGATGTTGTACCGGTGGTACATGTCCTAAATATACCCAGAAATATCTGTTTCGTTGTGAACTAAGTTACGACTGTAAATAGTATACCGGATTGATGTTGCTTGTGTATAAAATATTTCCTGGAGTACATCCGTGCTGTCGCGAACATGAACGTTGCATTAGAAGTTAGATTTTGTACTAGAGAGATGTATTTATTGTATATGCTATTTCCTAGAAAAGTTCTGCTGTAGGAAATAAGTACAAGAATGTAGATGTTGTAGTAGTGTGATGTAGTCTGTATATAGGTTATTGCCTAGAAAAGTTCAGCTGTGGGAAATTATATACTAGAATGCAGATATTGTACTAGTATGATGTAGTCTTTATATAAGGTATTTCCTAGAAAAAAATAGGACTTTCGAGGTTTCACCAAAGGTTGTATTTAAAACGAGAGTCATTAACGGACTTTGGGTTCCTCTACTAAAACAGTAAGAAAAATTAAGCGTGTCTACTTAAACGCGTCTTCTACTTCATCAATGGCACCCCCTTGTAAATTCTGGTTGATTCAAGTTACTGTCACATCCTCAAATGAGAACAAGGTATACTACAACGAAACCAATAGCTACACTAACGATTATTAAACACGTCCAACTTCACATCGCTTAGAGAAATAGAAGTTTATTCTGAAAAAAAAATTTTACGCGAATTTATTCTATCCTAGACTACAACAAAGATGAGGATCCCTCTTAAAAATCAGGAATATAAAATGTTTACTGTTGTCATGGATCGACTTCTCTAAAAAGCGAAGATTAGTTCACCTCGTAAATAATGAAGTTTTAGTATATAGCATGTTTGTCGTTGATCGACTTCTCTAGCATGCGAAGATTTGTTGTTTTGGCAACTTGTTGGTACTGTTGAATATAGGAGATCAAGACGATCCATACATAGTAATGGCAGCATGGAAAGCACGTGCAGGAAACATCGATGTTACGTTTGTTTTATGTACTTTTTGTTTTAACATGTTGATGTACATATATGAATACATAAGTTGTCTGTGAGAAATAAAAAAGGGTAGAACCATCCGCAAATGGAAATCTTGTGTCATTTTATTACAAAGGGGGTATACTTACAAAAAATGCTACAACTGAAAAACAACACACAGTATTGTCGAGAAGACAGCTTAATCATTGAACTACAGTGACCTTGACCATTAGCAATGTCAAATAAATGAGACTAAAATAACGAAACTATCGACATGTCCACAAAATCTGAATTGAAACATGACAACAACAAGAAAGAGTTTACATGGAACATATGATAATTGGAGACTTATCTGTAATCTCATTTCAGTCGAGCCTAGAATCTGACATAAAGCTGTGTGAAGTTTCAGATTCTGACAGACCAATACACAATGTACATTGTTAGGACCTTAACCTTTGACCTCTGACCATGGCATTCAATTATATGTAGTCGAAGCAAAAGTCAAATACCACTCAGCATTCCATGTTTAGGGTTAGGGTTAGGGTTGGGGTTGGGGTTAGGGTTAGGGTTAGGGTTAGGGTTAGGGTATTGAGCTGCTAGAACTTTAACCTTTACGGAACGTTGTCATATTAACCGGAATCCATTGTAGGATCAAGGAAACATCATAAATGCTGTTTTATCTTGTGAATCTCAAAAAGTGAATAAAAGAACATCTCCACCTGATTCTATTGTGGGGTCGAAAATGATTTCTTGGATATTGTCTAGTGGAAAAGTAGACTGTATCGTGAATGTAATGTAAATTGCTTCCTCAAACATACTAGTGTTCGTATTTAAAGGTATGAATGGTAGATGAATATTCCGTCAGAGTTAGCAAACCTTATCTAAATCTCATTTAAACAATAATTGTTTACATAGGAATAAGGAATATTTATCCAGAATTACTAGTTATTACTAGTTACTACTAGTTATTAGTGATACAAACGGAAATACACAGATATTGTATTTGCAAATTATGGATATATACACTGTTGGCAATACAAAAAATACTTGCCAGGCTTCAGGCAGATTTGTTCATTTGCTGGTAGAATTGTTGCCGATATGCGCTATCATTACCATAATAAAACAGATAAGACAGTAAGACAACATACTATGATGTAAATCTCGTGAACATGTTCTAAACCATAAAATGTACACATTAGACGATCTCAGGATTTAATCTTATGATGTCCCTTTATTTCCCCATTCATCCCTACTCATTCAGTTATACACATTTGACAATTAATATAGAAGTGATAATATCTATGTGATATTTCAAAAATAATTACACTGTGTTGATTTTTAAAAACAAATCTACGACTCTCAGAAGACACTTGTTCGTCATCTTGGTGATGTAAGATAAACAGTGACATAAACCGGGCGTTTGAACATTGCTTATTGCTTTTTAATTCGCTAATGATATCTTCAGGTGACATCTTTCAACATTTCATGGGGAAAGTTCTGTAAGGCCTGTATATGGTTATGTAAATTTCCACATATACAATGCGTATATGCGCATATATCTTCAAAAACATAATTGAAATATTGTTTGTGCGTAGACTGTTACTGAAAGTAACTGGAGATATTTCTTCTGGAGAGTCTTGAGACCGGAAACACTATTGTAGGGTTGAACCCTATTTTCTCTTAGTGTGGGCCCAGATGTTCTCGATTCGCGAGCAGGAAATCAAGAGCAGATTGATAGGGTAGCAGTCACTCTTCTCTCAGTTTCCTACCACAATTGGAAAAAGTGAAAGATGCTGTCAGACGGTCAAGAGTCTTATCTAGAAATACGGAGGAAAACAACAATAATGTAAATGTATAGTTTACAAGCGTTCCATTGCACTATCGGTGCTCCATTTCGAGCTTGTGGTAGACCAGCCATTTTAAAAGAAATGTCATGTAGCACATCTAAACTGTGAAATTGTGTGACCACAGTCTCTCATTTAAGGAAGGGGGAGATAATTCAATCACAGAGCGATGACCCCAGTATATTGATGTTACATATTACATATTTCAAAAGGTACATCTATTCCCTCGAACGGAAGAAATATGCTACAATAGTATTTTTCTATTTTACATCATTAGGGTAGAGTTATTCTATAACAGGCGATTAAATTAGCATCAGATTGGATCAGAAAATGCACAGATTATATATAAACTCTGTTTTTATGCATTGGGACTAGAACATTTGACGACAAAGTTACATCACAAGCTGAATTATGGTTACAAACTGAGTTTCTATGACGGCAGTTATAAACATGATACACAAACATACAGTGGTGATACGATTAAAGTCTTCGTATCTAGATTGTAGCAAGCTTATCTACGGGTATAAAGTTTACAGATCACTGGAGCAGAACCACTGTTATTATTGAGCCGAAGTGGCTCCGTTTGCCATCTTTAACCTATTCACTCGAGCTGCTAATGCAAGAAGTATGTTTTATGCTGTATAAGGGAGGACAATCTGATATATATATGTATCATACAACTGGGATTCACTAAAGCTTGCTTTACATTTATACAAATATTTTTATTTTTCCGGTCAACATTTTGTTCATTTCATTTTTTTCAAGAATTTATTAAACTCTACATCTATTTCAAATGAAATAAAATCATTTGTATCACTCAATGGTTTACGAGTTATCAAGATATATATCTATATGTATGGACATTACGATATCGCCGTAAATCATCAAAGGACCAGATGTTGCTCATTCTTGTCTATGCCTTTCCAAAGGTTTACATCAACTCGTGTGAATTGCCTGTCAGCATCAGAAACAGTCATGTACACAGCGAAATACCGCATAGAAATAAAGTTCGATATAAATTCAGGTTTGCACGGTGTTTAACAGTCGAGAAATACTCTTGTATAGGGATCAGTCAACCGGATGACGTGACAAGATATATTCAGTTTGTTAACAAAAATAACCCGTGCTACATGAAAGCCTACCTGAAAGAACGAAAACGTAAGTGTTTGTTAGTAATATGTGGACGCCTTTTAATTTGTTCACGGGTCTCTGTGTAAGTATTTCTTTTGTTCTTGTTTTGCTCCAATCTCATCGAATTCGTGTTGGTATTTTCTTTGTCGTCATCGATGTGGATGTGAATTGATGTCCATGATGAAACTGACCGACTCCCAAAGTGTCACTCTGCTCTGATCACGGTTTAATATTATCGTTTGAATGTTGTGAATCCTGAAGTTTTATACTCATCAACTTGATACCGTGTTGTAGATTACTAAGTTTAAGCTTTAATAATTATATCTTTATAACTGTAACTTCCTTTCTAATATTCTTTTCAGAATCAATCTTGCTGCTTTAACATCCCATAACGGAGAATGGCATTTTTGGAATGGGAAGATTATGTCATATTCATCGTAACACTCATCTTTTCCCTGGGAATTGGTTTATATTATTCTGTAAGGGACTCAGAAAAGAAGACAACGAACTATTTTTTATTAGGAGATGGTAATATGTCCATATTTCCTGTTGCAATGTCATTGATGGTATCATTTGAGTCAGGGATCATGATGCTGTCTATTCCTGCTGAGGTCTACATGTACGGCATGCAGTGGTATATGTCTATCATTTCTATGTTTGTATCCAACATGCTGACGATGCATCTCATCATACCAACACAAAGGAAGCTTAACATTACTAGTTTGAACCAGGTATAAGGATGAATATTACATATCTTATTTTCATAATCAAATAACTGATCAATTTCATCTTACGTCGGAAATTGGGATCTATTCAATCAGTATTTTTTAAGGTTTTACAAAAGACATATAAGTAAATTTTACCTTTCAATAAAAATAGAATTGAAATTCAAATAATGAATTACGCTGTATATCATACAGCTGTTTCCTTCTCGTCAGATTTACTATTGATGCGAAGGGCCTAAATATCAAAACTTTGGAGGCAGCTGGGGAAAATAAAAATGGACCAAATACTCTGTCGAAATCTAGATGGGTGGTAGTAGGGGTTGGGTAGTTGTTTGGGAGGGTGTGTATTATCCCCCTTAATTCAATAGATTTAGTAATTTTTATATATCTGCTAGTTTCAAAAGAATATCAAGCACATGCACTAAAGAAGATTGGAATAATGACACAATTGCGGTATTTATGTCCCATTTAAGAATTGAAAATTATTACATTTATCACACATATTACCAAATTCTCTCTCTCTCTCTCTCTCTCTCTCTCTCTCTCTCTCTCTCTCTCTCTCTCTCTCTCTCTCTCTCTCTCTTATCTATTTGTACTTCTCTGATACTGAGAATAATCAATGTGTATTTTTATTGATTTCTCTCAGATTAAGAATACAGCTAGTCTTTTTTGAGTTCTCTCAGATTCGGAATACAGCTAGTCCTTTTTGAGTTCTCTCAGATTCAGAATACAGCTAGTCCTTTCTTAGTTCTCTCAGATTCAGAATACAGCTAGTCCTTTTTGAGTTCTCTCAGATTCAGAATACAGCTAGTCCTTTCTTAGTTCTCTCAGATTCGGAATACAGCTAGTCCTTTCTTAGTTCTCTCAGATTCAGAATACAGCTAGTCCTTTCTTAGTTCTCTCAGATTCAGAATACAGCTAGTCCTTTCTTAGTTCTCTCAGATTCAGAATACAGCTAGTCCTTTCTTAGTTCTCTCAGATTCAGAATACAGCTAGTCCTTTCTTAGTTCTCTCAGATTCAGAATACAGCTAGTCCTTTCTTAGTTCTCTCAGATTCAGAATACAGCTAGTCCTTTCTTAGTTCTCTCAGATTAAGAATACAGCTAGTCCTTTCTTAGTTCTCTCAGATTCAGAATACAGCTAGTCCTTTCTTAGTTCTCTCAGATTCGGAATACAGCTAGTCCTTTCTTAGTTCTCTCAGATTCAGAATACAGCTAGTCCTTTCTTAGTTCTCTCAGATTCGGAATACAGCTAGTCCTTTCTTAGTTCTCTCAGATTCGGAATACAGCTAGTCTTTTTTTGTCGCTGCAGTATTTTGAGCTTCGATATAAATCCCATGGACTGAGGCTGTTTTCTACGGTGATCCGTTTACTGGCTGTGGTAAGTTGGATATACATTTTCTGTATCTTATATCTTCATACGTGGGTGTGTAATTTATGCACATAAAGATTCGTAGAAGTCAATTGAAAAGTTTTACAGTGGAACAGGAAACACGAAAAGATGGGATATGAAACGTATCAAATCATTAGCAAAAGGCACGTCTAGGACACTGGACTAATATATAACAAAGATTCGTGGAAATCAATTGAATGATGTTAAAGTTGTAGCTCGTTCTCAAAATAATATTATACTGAGAACTAGGCTTTATATCGAAGATAATTTCCTATTAACTCACAAAAGTTTGATTTTTAAAGTTGCCTCTGATCTACCGATACTTTGTGTTGATCTGTGGTAATCTTAAGAGTTGCTTATCTCATTCTGTATTGCCTTATTAATTTATCACTAACCTATCCTTTTTCTGTTTAAATGGAACAAGACAAACTATCTTGGCAATGTTGTGTTTGTACCAGCTGTAACATTGGAAATAGGTAAGTCATTTACCACGTCAGTTACTGTATCGAAAACAAATCAAAGAAACTAGTATTATTTCAATGATTTTACAATAAGTAATATTTATTTAAGCATTAAATACCAGTTAAAAGTGTCACTATCCATTGGTTTTCACGTGTTAGGTATACGAGATATACATGCATATGTTTCATGCGCTGGTATAAACAAAACCTGGTTGCGTAATATTTTGTGTTTTTAATCATATTGTCTCGAAAATAATTTCATCAGATATGTTACGATGTCCTTAATATCAATAAATTAACACAAGGTATATAGCAATGTTGTTGATGTAAAGGCTTCAGATTTGAATAACCTATTTTACATGTACCCGACTTTTGTGTGTGCTATTTGTAAAATTCCTGCCTATGTATATATATATATATATATATATATATATATATATATAGTAATAAAGTGATGAATTCTATAAGCAAAAATATAAAAAAAATTAAAAGATTGGAAAACACGATGAGCTGTAAAACATAAGTATCTATGTACATTATGTAAAACATCTGATGAAGAAATGAAAGCGGATATGTTTTACAGCTCATTGTGTTTTCCAGTCTTTTAATTATATATGTATATATATATTGCGATCTATGTTATCATATCACGTAATAAAACAACTTGCCACGATCATCAATTTTCAGAATTTCAAGTTGTTGTTCAACTTCACAACATCCTTTTTGGGGGGATGTCGTGGTGGTGTAATGATTAGGCAGTTTGGAATGTCTTAGCTCGGTGATTGGTGCTGTAGATTGGATTAGGCAGAGTTTAAAATTTGACTTCCTTCTTCACTTGTGTTCCAGTGTCTAAAATATTATTAGATTAACATAATGCATCATATACAGTAATTTTGTTGATCCGAAAATTCCGGATTTGAATTCTCTGTTGTCTCTGTTGTCTTCAGTAGACTGAACTACTGTGGATTCATTTATTTTCGTTGGGTTCAATTTTCGTTGTTTCTACAAATTAGACAGTTTCGTGGACTCATAAATTCGTGGATTTTTGGTTCTGTGGGAAAAAAATAAAAACGTTAGAATTTTCTCTTTTTGCTTCCAGTCGAATTTTTTTCTGTTTGTATTAAGGCTATGTTCACAGGAATTAACACTAATGACAAGAATAAAAGAACGTTTTTTTTTCAAGATGGCGTCCTGTGTTTTTATAACGCTGTTTACAACAGTCTCGCATTAATATCAAACCACAAATCAGTATATATCCTGGCGTGTAATCAATCGGTAATTATCAGAAACAATTGTTTTCAGTGGATAAACATTGTGTGCTGATCAGTCGGTGTACCGCAGTCATATGAAAACACCACGCGTATCGATGGGACCATGTGTGTAAACAGGTGTGTAAACAAGATCTGCATTATTAATAATTATTGTGAACCTGTAGTCGGATAGAAATACGGATCCAATATTCAATCGACAGGATGGTCCGATCAAGCCTAGTGTCCACAGTGTCGCTAACGACTGCGATCCCATCATACTTAGCATCACAATGGGTACTTACCCTTTGTTATGTTTAATAATATATAATTATATATCGTTGACACCAATTTAGCGTATCCATGTCGAGCCTCAGACTACCCGACTCCCGACTAATTACGGGGCTTCTGTCATTACCGGTGGACGTTTCCGGTGTCGGCAAAGATTACTTGGTCAAATTTCAAAATTACTTTAGTAAGTAGTTCATATTTCGTTGTGTTTTTAAATTCGTGGATTTGCTCATCCACGAAAACAACGAAAATTGGACCCCCACGAAATAAAATGAATCCACAGTATATTACCTTCGCGGAATCAAAATGAAATGTAAAGGTCAAACTTATGTACACTGCTGATAAATAATAAAGAGTACTGTATAAAGACAAACACATCAATAACAATTTCCAATACAAATTAAAAGTATATCCAATTATCAAATTAAACTGCATGATACGGCTTCCTTTTTTCGCATTATTTGTGTCATGTAATCATTCAACTTTCCAGTGGCTGGAATCCCAGTATGGATCTCTATCGTAACATTGATGGGCGTTGTAGTAATCTATACAATAATTGTAAGTGTGGCTTATAACCCTTCCTTAAAGATTGTGTTACAGACACCCAACAATACAAACTTTAAATTAATTCCAGAATATATTTGAAATAATGAAATAATAGTATTATTGTTGTACCCTTCTTGGACTCGTCATTGATTCGAAGGGTGAATGTTTTAACCCTACGGAAAGGTCAGAATCAACAGATCACAATGAACATGTGTCTATTTTTCAAAGTGTCACAGTTCAAATAAGTTGCACGTGGTTTGCAGGTTACATCGAAATACCAGCAGTGGCTATCTTCTATCAATGACTGCACAAGTAAAAAGGTCAAAATAGGTTAAGAGAGTCATTCTTACAACCAATTCTGTTTTGATTTTTATAGTACATTTAATAAATATCAATATGTTTACTTTTGTCATTCACATTGAACGATCTATAGATATTTCACAGGGAGTTTGTCTCAAAACCTTATGTCTTGTTTGTTAAGGACGACTTTTCATTGTAGGGAGGTTTCCAAGCAGTCGTCTGGACAGACGTTTTCCAAGCCTTCTTCATGTTTGGCGGTATATTTGCCATCCTTATCAAGGTAAACAACACTTCAATTGCCCTCTATTTAATCCATTCATTTCATATTTAAGGATATTCTTTCTATAGTTATAGAGTCGTGCTGAAGGTCTTATAGTAATAGGATTACGAAAAAGTCACGTGTTTGTTGATATCAAGAAATACCGAGTTTCTTAGTATCTAGCTTTCTTTGTTTGCTCTGTAATATTATGAAGAGCACACATATTGTGTTCGTGATTTGTTACTTTTTTGTCGATAAATATGTAAGAGAATGTCAGTTTAATTAACTTATATAATTTGCTCGTGCGGTTGCTGGTTTGAGAGAATATATTGATATTTTTCACGAGTGTGAAATCTCTTTTTTTTTCATTTTGATGCATACGTCGACGTGTATTTACATTGGGCTAATTACAGTGTTAAAGCACAACAAACAAATTAAGGCCATAGTTACCTCAATGCACACTAATGCACCTAGTGACGTAAGCAAGAATTGCGCATTTATTATCTGCATGAGTGATGACAAGTCATTGTAATTCTATGTAAACCTGATCACCATGCCTAATATCGATAAATACAAACGTTGGGGTGACCAAGCTTGCCTTGGGATTCTACATACACCGCATTAGATAAAAAATACTAAATGAGAAAACATTCACTATTCTCTACGTTACCGTATTTTTGTAATAAATATGAATTACTCCTATGGTCGGTCAATACACATATCAAAATGAAGTAATTTAAATATATTTATTTCACAAGGGTACAATAGAGGCAGGTGGACTGACCAAAACATGGACCATAATAACAGAAAAGGGAAGAGTCAACCTACTGAAGTAAGTCGGACCACTTTTCAACATTTCTGCTCAATCTTTTGGTCACTTTGAATTTTTCTAAGACGCGTCCTTGGCATCACAGTTAAGGCCCATAGCATCACTGAGGAGCCCTGGAAGGACGAAACAGCGGCATGATGCACTTTGATTTATCTTTTTGCTCAAAGTTATCTAAATTAGTGTCTGTTGTACAATCTTCCTTAAGTTTCTCCACCCTTGGACACCGGTTACTGAGAAGTTAAGGAGTCTGGTGTCGTTATCATTAGTTTCTAGCCCCGTCCCATCTCTAGATTGCGGGTTCCAGGCCTACGTGCAGTAGTAACCAAGTATTAGTCACAGGTCGGTCGTTTTTCCCCCGGGAACTCCAGCTTTCCTCTTCCACTAAACCTGACACATAGCCTCGACTGTTAGAAGGGCGTAAAGCAACTGACATCAACTTCTAGAAAAACGAAACTGCTGCTGTAGAAAGTGGTATTTATATATATTTATTATCTAACAAACGCCTTCGTTTCATCAATAATGAGATTGAATTGATATTATTATATAAATTTGATACATAGAAACAATAACACAGATTGGTGACACAACATTAGTCCGCTCATCCGACTCTCCACACTAAGGAATAAATACAACCAACTTTCTAAGTTGTTCATTAAATGCTGACAGAGTCTTTAATTTAGTCAGATTTTAGTCAGATAGTTTCTGAATGTTGGAGAAAGCCGTTTACTTCCTATTTAGGAATTTTCTTGATGTTTTTTTATACACAATTTTCGAGGATTTAGTTTGTATCTAATTACATGTGCGAAATATAATTAACCAAAGAGGTATATATTTATTAGAAAATATCGATGCAAGAAATCCTTGGCGCTTTTCGTATGTGAGACGACATATTTTCTCTCTTTTAAAAAATGAAAACCAATTACCTTAAACTTGAAATAGGATAAACGGGAAATCAGATATCCCCTCATCTCGATTGAGAAGCTTTCCATATCTTACATCTCCAACAATTGAGGTTTATTTTGCTAAGTTAATTTGGATTGTTGAAGACATTTAGTATATTTTTATTTCAATACTGAAGATTAAAAGGATAATTTGTCAGTCAAGATATTTCCAATGAATCAACAGGTTGCAAGCTTTAAGTCCATTATGTGATAAAAGTTCCATCAATCCAGCTGTTGGAGACGTATGGCGTTTGTGGGTTTTTTATTGACCACATAAAACTTCTACAAACATGATTTTGAAGTGATTGCTCAACTTGCTATAACAACAAACAGTCTGAATCAAAAATGTCGACCGTTATGTGTTATTTACGTTATATTAGTAGCTTTGTTGACAAATTTATCACTGTTTTTTTATCAGCGAATAGGTTATGATCATAAAAAAGCAGAACATAGTTTATTTACTATGTTTTGAATAAAACCTGGAAACGACGTACTGAAATAATTTCGCTCATGATACATAGATTCATTTTGCAAAATATCTTACAGTTCTGTTTATTGTAAAGTAAGATATAATCTTCTACTTCGCCCAAAACGAATTGATTTCGTCGACATATTAAAACCGAAGTACTTTATCTCTACTCGTTTTCTTCCAAAATACAATACAAATACAATGATGGGTGGTTAGGTTATTGTCAGTGTACTGTTACCGGTTGTATTTTTTTTTTTTTTTTCAATTACCTTTACTTCTTGTCCTGTCTCAAAGCTTTGATCCTGATCCAACCCTGCGTCAGTCATTTTGGAGTTTGATGATCGGTGGTATTACAAGTGGACTTGAACTACAGTTTAGTCAGGCGACTTTCCAAAGAATAAAAGCAACACCGACATTATCAACGACTAAAAGGTTTTTGTTAATTTTCTGTACATCTTTATGTATATTGTAGGAAAATTGTAATCGGGTTTAAAGTTTATTGATAAGTTAAATATTTTTGTCTCCAAGAATACAAAATGTTCGGTGGTGGATTATAATCATTAATATTATCCTAAACATATTGTTGTATAAAGCATGAGTACAGCATAAGCATACCCTGAAACAGAACTCATTCTAGACCAACAGCGAACTGTACCACTGAGAACAATACCGTCCCATACTGGTGATGATAGGGGCTGTAAATAGATGGAAAACCTAGGTACCTGTAAGCTTTTATTTCAACAGAAATACTCTGCAACAATGAAAGAGCAGTCATTTAGACAAAGGCAAGAAAAAAAAATCTGAAAATTCTGCGGATATGCCATCAAGGATAAAATATCGTCAGTGTGTTTTCTTCTTGTAGTCATTAAAAATCCAAATGCTATTACGTCAGATTATGGAGACGTATAAATATCTTATTCTGCAGTCACTAAACATCATTTTATGTAATGTAAAGACACTGAGTTTTTACATAACAAAACATTTCCGTTATATTTAATCTAATTCTATTTATTGACTTCTCCGTTTTAGAATGTTTATTCTAGCTTCGGTATTGTCTTTGTTGATCTCTGGTCTGGCGGTAATTGAGGGCGGTGTCATGTTCGCCTTCTACCATTCAAAGAGCTGCGACCCTCTTGAAGCCAAGCAAGTTCTTAATGAGAACCAGGTAACACAATATGGTTTGATAGATACCAGGAAATTACGAATTTTATTGAAATAAGGGAAAGGTACACCTGCGCGTCTATTTTTTTCATTTTCTTGCGATCACTTTGAATTTCCGTCAGTCGCCTCCGAGGAACTCGTTAAACCGACGTTCTGTACTGTTTTTGATTATTGTAAAAAACGATTATAACCGAGTCTATTTGATAGGCAATGTACACACAGCATAAAGTACACAGTTATATGAAAGGTTGCATATCTTGTATGATATCTATTTAGAGAGTTTAAGTATCGTAAAATGTTCTCAACCTTCTTTTTATTTCAGCTGATAGCTAAAATGGTACGAGACATATTCCACGACACGCCTTGTCTACCAGGGCTGTTTCTTGCGGCTGTTTTTAGTGCATCTCTGAGGTAATGTTATATATTTAGGATGTCAATTCTGTCACCATGCCGATTTTCTGGATTTGTACAAACCTAGGAAATGTCCTCTGATAACAATGATAGTTTTTCTTCAATTCTCCACTATGTCGTTTTACGGTCGTCATAGATTTCTTTGTGTGATATGAACGTGGGCGTGTTTGCGCTCATTAGTTTGCCTGCTGGTTCCGTTGTTGTATACCTCGTTTGAGAACTTGACATTACTCACTTAGATTGACCACGATTTACATGGTAAGTGTCGTCGACGAAGCAAAAGATGCTTACTCTTTCTGAACACATGGTCTTATTCTCCTTGTACTTTTTCACGAGTCTCCGTGTAGATTTCTCTTTTGTTCAAATATTTCCCCTGGTTTCATTGAATTCGAGTTTGGATTATGGTTATGTTGATATGGCGGTATTTTTTTTTATCTTTTCATCTCTTACACAGTTTTAATTCCGTTCCTCTTGTTCCCGAATATCATCGTCTTTCTCTTGCATTTTTTCAGTTTCCACGTTCGGGTTCAGAAGATGTATTATTTAACTGAGCGCTCTTTCCTGAAAGTTCCTGTTTTGATTGTCTTATTTCTAATTTCAGCAGTTTGATTTCCTTACGTTGGTTCTATACTAATGTTTCAAGTTGACTTTTGATATCATCTCGCGTGTTTAATGTAAACAGGACAGTCGTGCTGTCACGTCCACGCTTTCACATCTATTTATTGTGTTTACATGTATACCTGTAGTCGCCGGGTAGGAGGCTCCTGTGGGATCTTTTTGAAAAAAAAATGGTATTAATTTCAACTAGATCACCTTTTTTCGTGCAAGACGTTGCCAACTGACGGACAAACTCGTAACACAGGTATCCAAAAGACACAGGTTGGTGAAAACTTTGGGTAATTTTATGGTCGTCATAGTGATCTCATTCTAACAATTATATTTCTTTGTGCAGGACGTGTTTGATGCTCGTTAGTTTGCCTTTAGATTCCGTTGTTGTATACCTTGTTCTCTTTCGAGAATTGGATTGACAAATATTTACATGACGATTGCTGTCGAGGAGGCAGAAGACGCTTACTCTTCCCGGACACATACTTATTTTTCTATTTTTCTTGTACTTTTTCAGGAATATCAGTGTTAATTTTTCTTTGTTGATTTTTTGCTTAAGTTTTATTGAAACTGAATTAGGATTATGTTTACATGTTGGTATTTTCTTGTCGTTTTTCTACAGCGAAACCACCAGGCATACTAACAAGGTTTGAATACTTCTAACTTTACATAACTCAAATAGATATAATATCACGCATTAACATCATGGTACCGGTCATCGAAGCTCTCCATTATCTTCAATGATTGGAATCGCGATACTGGGGTGCATAGATTCATCCTCGTATGTAAAAATAAAATTAGATAAATAAGTTTGTCTCCAATGTGATTTGCACTGTTACTGTACACCAGTACTCTGTTTGGTGATCTTACCAACAATCACTATAAAGTTATTGTGAGACAGATTACAACCAAATTCCTCTTGGCTTTAGCTATCAAAATCGAATTTCGTATTCGTCGAATAATTAAACACATATTTTTAATATCATGCAATGATTCATTATCAGGGTGTTTTGTTCTGTCCCGTTTCGATGATTTTGTATAGATGAGTACATTTGTTCCATAATTATTCACAGTTGAGTTAATATTATATAGAACTGAAGTCACTGGGTAAATGAATATCGTTCACACTCCAAGTATATTATATTAGTATCAGTATAGGGTATCATAAAGCATTCTGTACTTAATACATTGCTGTGTAGAAATAAGATTTATTCTATGTTTCATCATATATTCCCAACGTTTACTATATACAAGATCACATAATTTATACTCACGGCACGTACTAACGGTACATACTAACGGTTCATACGATACCCACTCACGGTACATACTCACGGTACACACTCATGGTACACACTCACGGTACACACTCACTGTACACACCCACAGTACATACTCACGGTACACACTCACGGTACACACTCACGGCACGTACTAACGGTACATACTCACGGTACACACTCACGGTACCCATTCACGGTACATGCTCACGGTACCCACTGACGGTACATACTCACGGTACATACTCACGGTACACACTCACGGTACATACTCACGGTACACACTCACGGTACGCACTTACTGTACACACCCACGGTACACACCCACGGAACACACTCACGGTACACACTCACGGTACATACTCACGGCACATACTCAATGTACTCACTCACGGTACATACTCACGATTACACACTCACGGTACATACTCACGATACACACACACGGTACACACTCACGGTACATACGGTACACACTCACGGTACATACTCACGGTAAATACTCACGGTACATACTCACGGTAAATACTCACGGTACATACTCACGGTAAATACTCACGGTACACACTCACTGTACACACTCACGGTACATACTCACGGTACATACGGTACATACTCACGGTAAATACTCACGATTACACACTCACGGTACATACTCACGATTACTCACTCACGTTACATACTCACGTTACTCACACACGGTACACACTCACGGTACATACGGTACACACTCACGGTACATACTCACGGTAAATACTCACGGTACATACTCACGGTAAATACTCACGGTACACACTCACTGTACACACTCACGGTACATACTCACGGTACATACGGTACATACTCACGGTAAATACTCACGATTACACACTCACGGTACATACTCACGATACACACACACGGTACACACTCACGGTACATACGGTACACACTCACGGTACATACTCACGGTAAATACTCACGGTACATACTCACGGTAAATACTCACGGTACATACTCACGGTAAATACTCACGGTACACACTCACTGTACACACTCACGGTACATACTCACGGTACATACGGTACATACTCACGGTAAATACTCACGGTACACACTCACGGTACATACTCACGGCACATACTCACTGTGCACATTTACGGTACCCACTCACGGTACACACTCACGGTACCCACTCGCGGTACACACTCACGGTATATACTCACGGTATATACTCGCGGTACACACTCGCGGTACACATTCACGGTATATACTCACGGTACACATTCACGGTACACACTCACGATGTATATATGTTAACTTAAAATGATTGTGAAGTTTTCTGATAATTCTTCAGTTTTAATAGTTGGATATTTAACTAACATAACGATAGGTTCTGTTCAGATAAAATAATTTTACTGCAGGTCTCCAAACCAGTATAGGCTTCCAGTATGGTTTTGATGATGTGCCTTAATATCGACAAAAGTATATTGCATGAATAAAAAGGTCCTAATTTCTTCAATTTAACGGGTGTTCTAATGAAAACTTTCTGCAATGAAAACGTTTGAGAATAAATAAATCACCTTCATGCTACCTGTGTGTGTTTCCTGTAACAATGATATTAGGCATTTTACACTTTTAAACGTATAACAAAATTTTTCGTAAGTGGAAATTTGCCTGTTTCATTCTTAACGTGATATCTAATTTCTTCCAGTACAATGTCGTCACTGTTAAACTGCCTATCCGCGATTTTCTGGGAGGATATTGTCAAACGCCATACGAAACCGATGTCGGAGAAAAAAGCAGTTTTGATTACACAGTCGTCGGGTGATCTGTCTTCTATTTACCGATATGTTGATAAAAATACTACGACATAATTTAAGTCAATATATACGTTCAATGAGGTTTTATTGATAAACGAACATTCAGTTATGATTTGAAGGACATATATTTTACGCTATTGTCACGCTCTAATTTCTGTATTAAAGAGAAATTTTCATGATTTATTTTTGAAACATGAAACCCGTTTTTTTCAATTCCAATTTTGATAATTCTGGCTGCCTGCTTTCAGGAAAACATGTATTATGACGTTTTTCAAAAACATATGCTTGGTTTAAAGTTTCGTCAGCATTGAATTGGGATATTGCAGAAACATGATGTGAGACCTGCGATATTTCAATTACAGTGACAATTTTTAATAGCCTTATTCGGTAAATAACACACAAATACATAATTGATGTAATACATGGACAAACGATTAAATCGTGATCTTTATCGACTTGTAACTTCTGCAGAAAAAAATTGAGCATGGTCATCGAATAATATTTTCGCCAATTTTATCTTTCTCTGTCGTTGATTTAGAACCTTCCATTTGATTTCGCGTACATTTTGATCCGTTTCAGTCTTACTATTTGGAGGCCTGGCTGTATGTTTAGCCTTTGGTATATCTGGAATTGAAGGTCCTGTGTCAAGGGTAAGAACTCTACTTTTCTGTCATCAATTCACATTCAAACACACATATAATATTATTACCTTATGAACATCGTTCAACAGTATTTTTGAGCTCCCCAAAAAGTTTTTGGGGGGGAGCATTTAGTTGTCATATCGTCAATCCGTTTGGACGTCCGTCTTTCCGTCCATTCTTTTCGTGACTGAAACATGAATATACTTGCATTTAGCGTAGAATAATGAAACTTGGTGTATGCATCCGTCATATTAATACAATTTGTACCAATGTCAGGACTATCAACCCTAAATAACAGAGTTATTGTCCTTTGTTAAAAATTAGTTACCAGTTCATGCATAACTGCATTTTGAAATTATGAAATTTACAACATAGTCAGTATAAATGTCCATCAAAAAACATTTCAAAGCCAATAATCTTTGATTGTCTCCATCACAATTTTTTTTACGAAATCATTAAAAAAAATACTTGTATTAGAAACTGTCCATACATTTAGTATCAGACTGAGAGAAATATGCTACTCCATTCACAATTCACGAGTAATTATGTGTCAACACAAACACGTGTGTCATATTTTAACATCATTCATTCCTCTTTCGGGGATCATTCATATCAGTTACACTGAAGGTACTCTTCTATATAACTACTATATAGTATGTTCATATTCTTATTATTTTTACCCCATTTTTATGTTTATTTTGATTCTGATGGGAATATCTGGGTCACGAAAACAGATCTATGTTAACATGTAACTTTAGCTGTGTGACATGTAACTGTTTCAAACAAATTAATACCAGAACAATGTTATATATATACTCGATATAACTGGAACTTATTTCTCAGCTTCACTGTTACAAATACTCGATATAACTGGAACTTATTTCTCAGCTTCACTGTTACAAATACTCGATATAACTGGAACTTATTTCTCAGCTTCACTGTTACAAATACTCGATATAACTGGATATTGTTTCTCAAATTACCTTTTACAAGAACTCGATATAACTGGAGCTTGTGTTGCCGTTACACTAAACAATTAAACGATATATCCTTTTACAAGAACTCGATATAACTGAGATATATCGTCTGTCTGGTTCATTTTTACAAATAATCGATATAACTCGTGCTTCTTTGATAAATACACTTTAGCAAATATCTCGAAATAACTCGAACATCTCGATGTATATGGAGCTTGTTTGGTAAACTTTTACAGATCCTCGATATAACTGGAGCTTGTTTGGTAAACTTTTACAGATACTCGATATAACTGGAGCTTGTTTGGTAAACGTTTACAGATACTCGATATAACTGGAGCTTGTTTGGTAAACTTTTACAAATCCTCGATATCACTGGAGCTTGTTTGGTAAACTTTTACAGATCCTCGATATAACTGTAGCTTGTTTGGTAATTTTTTACAGATACTCGATATAACTGGAGCTTGTTTATCTGGTACCCTTATAGGACTGTTCCTACTTGGTATGTTCGTGCCAAGAGCAAATTCATTGGTGAGTTTGACGCATGTGTTATTTCCTACATTTGGAATTAGTCGACATGTCATTGAAGAATAAGAAAATCATGTGTAATAGAAAAGTACATGTGTAGATATAAGAATAATAAGTATCAGATTTGTGTTACTGATACGTATCGTTTTAGTAAGTTACCTTTTCCTGTAATGTTCTGACAGAAAGATAACCTCTTTATCTTAAGGCAATCTGACCTCACACCCCTTTGTTTGACTTTATAAGAATGGTTCTATCTTCTGTAGACATTTTCACTGAATTAGTTTGTCGCCATAACGCATTTTTATTGTCATTGCCGATATACGTCACAGATTTGTGTAGACTGTATTGATGACGTATGTTTACAGGGTGCTTTAGTTGGTGGACTGGCCTGCTTCCTTTTCATTGGCTGGATCTCTCTTGGAAAGTTGATTTCGTCGGGTGTCCGTGTTAATGTCAAATTAGAGTCCGCATCAACAGAAAGATGTCCACAACTGGATACTTCTCTGATCACAAATTATACAACTACATACAACCAGACATCAACCATTACGATGCAGGATGTCACAGATCTGACATTACAGACAAACCAAACACTCATATTTTCTGAACCGTAAGTATTACACAAATATTTTTCTTAAAAAGATAAAAGAGCAAATTATATTTCTTCGGCTATCATATGTATGATTTTATATTATATTTATGGATATCAATATAAATATATTTGATTTCTAATGAGACCGTGATGTTTGAAGAGTTCTGAGTTCTGAACAATAGTATGTCTACTTGTATGAACCCTTGTATGCACCATTCACTTCTATTCCATTTGTATGATTATTTGAACACATCGTATTTTATATCAAATATGTAGAAATTATATCAATATCGAACTTTTTTGAAATACAAAAATGCACCAATTGATAAATAGATATAAATTTGATAATATCTTCTAGTTCCGGAATGATTGTCTGTCCTGTTTTGTGTTTAGTTTTCTATGGTTAAAAGAACTAAACACAAATAAACGTTACATGGTTCAATATGGCGCTCGTGTTTATGAATTGACGAAATAGTTGTATTATTCTGTTTATTAGGAAACTATCTGTCAAAACTAAAACATAAATTTATTTAATCGCATGAAAACTATTTTTGACTTTAATCTTGAATAGTATAATCGATCATCACGTGTTGTTTTTACGTTAAGCTTGTCTTCAGCCGAATCCGAATTGTTGTTTGACATGGTATATGTGTTACAATGTGTTCTGATAGGTATATGTGATACTGCATTATCATATAGTGGACATACCGTGGTATTTCAGTAGTACCTCTTGCTCTAGCATCTGCTGTAAATTAATAATTTAACTAGAATAAGGCCATGTTTAGCAATGTTTTTTTCACGTCGACTTTTCAACACGTCAGACTGAACGAGTAGAATTACGACTTGTACTTTTTCTATTTACAAAACTTTGGTTGAAAAAAACCGTCCTGATTTTCTCACTATTTTCTTTAGTTTTCTGTAACCGGAAACTAGTCAAACTTCTACATTCAGTAGACAAACACTGAATATTTCCTTAATAGTTGTCGGCAACACATCAAAACATGAAAGTTTGGGAGATGTATGTTGATAAAAAATAAGTTGTAGAATAAGTGACGAAACATTAGTATACCGTTCCTGGATGGCGTACATTGATCTGAGACCGTGATATTTGATTAATCTATTTTAAGATTTACAGGAGATTTAAATTTAATACGGTGGTGAGTTGTCTTCCTTTTGATTTAAATGTCATTAGAAGGAAAGTTGAGTATAAACCTACTGTTTAGATAGTTGTATGAACTTACAGACAAGGCCTGGATATTCTCTACTCCATATCCTACAAATGGTTACTGCCACTTGGTATAGTTTTGGTTTTCTCCGTCGGATCACTTGCCAGCCGTCTACAAGGTAAAAACTTTATCAAACTTACAATGGTTTATAAGTATACTCTGAAGTATGTCATTCATCTACGATTCCATTTTTAAAAGTGTAACTATTACATTTTTGCCAGGGAAATATATTGATATATAACAGATTGATAAAAGTGTTTTTTTTTCACTAGAGAAGCAGCACTTTCGCAGATATACACCAATGAAAAGACAGAATATAAATAATGTTACAATATAGACAAATCGTAAAGCCCGCTACAAAAAATAAAATAAATATAAAAACACAAGAAACATGAAGGGGTTGTTTACGAGTGACATGACCTTTATGTCCATGGTGAAACTCAGATTACCTTATCAGAGATAAATACGGCACTCCCCCCCCCCTCCCCCTAACCAAACGTCTTGAAAGCAGAGCTAGACATTTCAAGAGAATTCGTATCATCCACAGCGACAACTAGGTGGCTGACATAGTAACTTGTCACAGGTTAAATTCTCTCTGAATATTTACAGCAAATTATTGTTTGTTAGTGACATCAATAAATGTTTGAAGTGCTAAAGTTTTATCATTACGACCGATATCGAGACTTTAAAGGATCACTTTAGAATAAAAGATAATAGATTTAATGATCAGGGATAAGGATGCCTTATACCGGGGTATTTCTAGATCTGAATCTTAAACAAGTCATGTGACAACAGCTCTCTGTATAGAACTTTAAATTTCCGTTGTTTGTAATTGCGTTCAGTATCTAAATGTAAATTTAGTTTTTCTATATCGACATCAGTGATTGGTGTTTTATTGTCAATACGCTGAGAAAGAAGGGCTTAATAACAAAAGGAGTTAATTCGTTGGCAATAGGGAAAGGAAAAAAAAACAAAACAAAAACAAAAAAGCAGGAATATCTATAGAACTCACTCTTGAGATACTTTTTTTTTATCGAAAATGGAAGAAAAACATTAAAAAAGATAACTTGCATGTTAAAGAAAAAAACGTTTTTGTTTCTATCAAAAAAGTTCCTTATCAGCTTAAACTTTCTATAAAAAGCATGAATATTCCACTGATTAAAAACAGCATTGCTCAGATAACAAAATACTATACAAAGATAGATTTATAAACAAACGTAATAGTAAATAACTATTGATCTACTCCTTACCCAATTAGAAGTCTTCATTTACAAAAAACAAAAACAAAACAGAAAAGAAAAAAAGGAGCTGGTGTTAATTAATGAAACTATATTATCTTTGGTATTGTATAGCTCAGACACCAGTAGATTTGTGGTTTAACTTACTCCGTCTGGTATTGTATAGCTCAGACACCAGTAGATCTGTGGTTTAACTTACTCCGTCTGGTATTGTATAGCTCAGACACCAGTAGATCTGTGGTTTAACGTACTCCGTCTGGTATTGTATAGCTCAGACACCAGTAGATCTGTGGATTAACTTACTCCGTCTGGTATTGTATAGCTCAGACACTAGTAGATCTGTTGTTTAACGTACTCCGTCTGGTATTGTATAGGTCAGACACCTGTACATCTGTTGTTTAACGTACTCCGTCTGGTATTGTATAGCTCAGACACGAGTAAATCTGTTGTTTAACGTACTCCGTCTCGTATTGTACAGCTCAGACACCTGAAGATCTGTTTTTTAACGTACTCCGTCTGGTATTGTATAGGTCAGACACTAGTAGATCTGTTGTTTAACGTACACCGTCTGGTATTGTATAGCTCAGACACTAGTAGATCTGTTGTTTAACATACTCCGTCTGGTATTGTATAGCTCAGACACAAGTAGGTCTGTTGTTTAATGTACTCCGTCTGGTATTGTATAGCTCAGACACCTGTAGATCTGTTGTTTAACGTACACCGTCTGGTATTGTAAAGCTCAGACACCTGAAGATCTGTTGTTTAACGTACTCCGTCTGGTATTGTATAGCTCAGACACCAGTAGATCTGTGGTTTAACTTACTCCGTCTGGTATTGTATAGCTCAGACACCAGTAGATCTGTTGTTTAACGTACTCCGTCTGGTATTGTATAGCTCAGACACCAGTAGATCTGTGGTTTAACGTCCTTCCTTTGGTATTGTATAGCTCAGACACCAGTAGATCTGTTGTTTAACGTACTCCGTCTGGTATTGTATAGCTCAGACACTAGTAGATCTGTTGTTTAACGTACTCCGTCTGGTATTGTATAGCTCAGACACCTGTACATCTGTTGTTTAACGTACTCCGTCTGGTATTGTATAGCTCAGACACGAGTAAATCTGTTGTTTAACGTACTCCGTCTCGTATTGTACAGCTCAGACACCTGAAGATCTGTTTTTAACGTACTCCGTCTGGTATTGTATAGCTCAGACAACAGTAGATCTGTTGTTTAACGTACTCCGTCTGGTATTGTATAGCTCAGAAACCAGTAGATCTGTGGTTTAACTTACTCCGTCTGGTATTGTATAGCTCAGACACCAGTAGATCTGTGGTTTAACGTACTCCGTCTGGTATTGTATAGCTCAGACACCAGTAGATCTGTGGTTTAACGTCCTTCCTTTGGTATTGTATAGCTCAGACACCAGTAGATCTGTTGTTTAACGTACTCCGTCTGGTATTGTATAGCTCAGACACCAGTATATCTGTGGATTAACTTACTCCGTCTCGTATTGTATAGCTCAGACACTAGTAGATCTGTTGTTTAACGTACTCCGTCTGGTATTGTATAGCTCAGACACCTGTACATCTGTTGTTTAACGTACTCCGTCTGGTATTGTATAGCTCAGACACAAGTAGGTCTGTTGTTTAATGTACTCCGTCTGGTATTGTATAGCTCAGACACCGGTAGATCTGTTGTTTAACGTACTCCGTCTGGTATTGTATAGCTCAGACACCTGTAGATCTGTTGTTTAACGTACTCCGTCTCGTATTGTACAGCTCAGACACCTGAAGATCTGTTTTTTAACGTACTCCGTCTGGTATTGTATAGGTCAGACACTAGTAGATCTGTTGTTTAACGTACTCCGTCTCGTATTGTACAGCTCAGACACCTGAAGATCTGTTTTTTAACGTACTCCGTCTGGTATTGTATAGCTCAGACACTAGTAGATCTGTTGTTTAACATACTCCGTCTGGTATTGTATAGCTCAGACACAAGTAGGTCTGTTGTTTAATGTACTCCGTCTGGTATTGTATAGCTCAGACACCGGTAGATCTGTTGTTTAACGTACTCCGTCTGGTATTGTATAGCTCAGACACGAGTAGATCTGTTGTTTAACGTACACCGTCTGGTATTGTAAAGCTCAGACACCTGAAGATCTGTTGTTTAACGTACTCCGTCTGGTATTGTATAGCTCAGACACAAGTAGGTCTGTTGTTTAATGTACTCCGTCTGGTATTGTATAGCTCAGACACCGGTAGATCTGTTGTTTAACGTACTCCGTCTGGTATTGTATAGCTCAGACACCTGTAGATCTGTTGTTTAACGTACACCGTCTGGTATTGTAAAGCTCAGACACCTGAAGATCTGTTGTTTAACATACTCCGTCTGGTATTGTAAAGCTCACACACCTGAAGATCTGTTGTTTAACGTACTCCGTCTGGTATTGTATATCTCAGACACCTGAAGATCTGTTGTTTAACGTACTCCGTCTGGTATTGTATAGCTCAGACACTAGTAGATCTGTTGTTTAACGTACTCCGTCTGGTATTGTATAGCTCAGACAACAGTAGATCTGTTGTTTAATGTACTCCGTCTGGTATTGTATAGCTCAGACAACTGTAGATCTGTTGTTTAACGTACTCCGTCTGGTATTGTATAGCTCAGACACTAGTAGATCTGTGGATTAACTTACTCCGTCTCGTATTGTATAGCTCAGACACTAGTAGATCTGTTGTTTAACGTACTCCGTCTGGTTTTGTATAGCTCAGACACCTGTACATCTGTTGTTTAACGTACTCCGTCTGGTATTGTATAGCTCAGACACGAGTAAATCTGTTGTTTAACGTACTCCGTCTCGTATTGTACAGCTCAGACACCTGAAGATCTGTTTTTTAACGTACTCCCTTTGGTATTGTATAGCCCAGACACGAGTAGATCTGTTGTTTTACTTACCTCATTTTGGTATTGTATAGCTCAGACACCTGAAGATCTGTTTTTTAACGTACTCCGTCTGGTATTGTATAGGTCAGACACTAGTAGATCTGTTGTTTAACGTACTCCGTCTGGTATTGTATAGCTCAGACAACAGTAGATCTGTTGTTTAACGTACACCGTCTGGTATTGTATAGCTCAGACACCTGAAGATCTGTTGTTTAACGTACTCCGTCTGGTATTGTATAGCTCAGACACCAGTAGATCTGTGGTTTAACGTACTCCGTCTGGTATTGTATAGCTCAGACAACAGTAGATCTGTTGTTTAACGTACTCCGTCTGGTATTGTATATCTCAGACACCTGAAGATCTGTTGTTTAACGTACTCCGTCTGGTATTGTATAGCTCAGACACTAGTAGATCTGTTGTTTAACGTACTCCGTCTGGTATTGTATAGCTCAGACAACAGTAGATCTGTTGTTTAATGTACTCCGTCTGGTATTGTATAGCTCAGACAACTGTAGATCTGTTGTTTAACGTACTCCGTCTGGTATTGTATAGCTCAGACACTAGTAGATCTGTGGATTAACTTACTCCGTCTCGTATTGTATAGCTCAGACACTAGTAGATCTGTTGTTTAACGTACTCCGTCTGGTTTTGTATAGCTCAGACACCTGTACATCTGTTGTTTAACGTACTCCGTCTGGTATTGTATAGCTCAGACACGAGTAAATCTGTTGTTTAACGTACTCCGTCTCGTATTGTACAGCTCAGACACCTGAAGATCTGTTTTTTAACGTACTCCCTTTGGTATTGTATAGCCCAGACACGAGTAGATCTGTTGTTTTACTTACCTCATTTTGGTATTGTATAGCTCAGACACCTGAAGATCTGTTTTTTAACGTACTCCGTCTGGTATTGTATAGGTCAGACACTAGTAGATCTGTTGTTTAACGTACTCCGTCTGGTATTGTATAGCTCAGACAACAGTAGATCTGTTGTTTAACGTACACCGTCTGGTATTGTATAGCTCAGACACCTGAAGATCTGTTGTTTAACGTACTCCGTCTGGTATTGTATAGCTCAGACACCAGTAGATCTGTGGTTTAACGTACTCCGTCTGGTATTGTATAGCTCAGACAACAGTAGATCTGTTGTTTAACGTACACCGTCTGGTATTGTACAGCTCAGACACCTGAAGATCTGTTGTTTAACGTACTCCGTCTGCGGTATTGTATAGCTCAGACACTAGTAGATCTGTTGTTTAACGTACTCCCTTTGGTATTGTATAGCTCAGACAACAGTAGATCTGTTGTTTAACGTACTCCCTTTGGTATTGTATAGCTCAGACAACAGTAGATCTGTTGTTTAACGTACTCCCTTTGGTATTGTATAGCCCAGACACTAGTAGATCTGTTGTTTTACTTACCTCATTTTGGTATTGTATAGCTCAGACGCCGGTAGATCCGCTGTATTACGTCCCAGTTTGTGATTACCTGAATGACTACATTTGTGCACCAATCAGAAGAATATTTGGATGTGACGTAAAATATTCTGCCACTGTACGTATACCAATTTTGGGAACACCGTGATTTCATTTTGCTACAATTGTTTATATTTTTTATGCTTTCCTAAAAGCAGAAAATGTAAATTTCCGAAAGAAAAAAAATTTGGATTTCTTTTTTTAATAATTGATAGAATAAACTTGCTGATCAATAAAGCTTATTTCACCAGTTAAGAAGTGTTTTAGGTAATATAAATTCTGAATGAATTGGAATTCCAATAAAAATCATGTTTTGAGGATAATGTCCTCATATAAAAGCATGTATGAAGTCCAGACGTAATCAATGATGTTTTGTATTTAATTGACAATATATTTTTTCTGTCAGGATACGACTGAAGATGGAACAGCTGTGAATGAACTGATAGAGGCGGCACCTACAAACGGAAATACAATTATATAAGATTTTAAAATGGATATTATAGATCGTTAAAATGAACTAAAACATGAAAGATGTGTATTTCACAGTGTAAATATTTTTCATATTTACCATGCTTTGTCCTTTAGGATTCTCTGGATTTTGTGTCAGATTAATTATTGCTTTAATCAAATATATTAATTTTAAATTAAGGTGCCTTTTCTATGATGCAACCAGATATCGATTGTTCTATAAGTATCATTATTATCAATTATCAAACGATGACGTGAGCGTTTTAATACCCCGACGGCTGATTAATTGAAAACAAGTCAATGTGACATTTGTATGGACAAATTATATGTATACTGTTTATATTGTAAACTCATTCTGCAGAACATGTGTTCATTCTTAAGAACAGATAATTTCATTCCAAAGGACATGCATTCATTCTTTAGAACAGATAATTTCATTCTACAGAACGAGTGTTCATTCTTTAGAACAGACATTTTCATTCCACAGAACTTGTGTGCATTCTTTAGAACAGATATTTTCATTCTGCAGAACTTGTGATCATTCTTTAGAACAGATGTTTTTATTGTTTAGAACATATCTTTTTTTCCTTAGAAAAATGTTTTCATTACTTTGAATTTATATTGTCATTTCTCAGAAGGTACATTTTCATTCCTTAGATCGTGTTTCTTTCAATAATTGCTTTGATTTGTGCTATGAAAATGTTTACCGTTTTGATTTTCACTGACTTTACTCCTTATGAATGTTTAAAGGTTCCACCAACTGTAGAATTTCTTCCTGGTAAATGTCCTTGATACTTATACTAACTATTTTACAACAAGAAACATATCACACGAAAGGGTGTAAGGGTCGCAACTATGATGTCCTTTAATGACACAGGGTTTCCTCCCATCTACTGTTATTTTGAAATGTACCTACAAAAAGTAAATCAATATTAATTGTGAAATATGAACAAACCAAAAACGATTTTAAAGCATTTTTCGTCATAATGTTTACAATTATTCCAATCCACTAACTATTCAAAGGAGAAACAACCCTCAATACTTGAATAATAGATGGAGACTGTTAATCAGTAAGTTATCAATAAAACCAAGTTACAGTCGAAACTCGATATCTCGAAATTCAAAGGACCGTGGAAAATATTTCGAATTTTGACTCAAACGGAGTATATATATAAGCTTAACGATATCACTTTCCAGACGTTGAATACAGTTGAACAAAGTAGGGTTACGATAGCATGCAAGCAGCGTAGTTTAATCTGTTATTTAAAGCGGCAGTAAATAAACAAATACATTTGTTTCTTCTTTCTCCCTTTATTGTTTACTGATGTAAACAACAAACCTGTAAAAACAACTCCGGTCAAATACATTTGTACTCACGATGTTCCGTTCCGCACACGTGTACAATACCCTTGCTGACTAAGCACATATACATTACATATATATATTACAGAATGACAATAAAACAAAATTAAGATTTGCTTATGATACGCTACAAGAAACGATGTATGAAGTTACAGATCAATATGACTTTATTATCAATAAACATTAAAAACGCGGTACTACAAAGTTTTTACCTGTTAAAGAAAAAGATGGTACAAGCACTAGACTTCAGCACTTCATTGTGAAAACACTAAATGTCAAATAGTGACTGATAACAGTCCTTTAGTAAACAAACTCAAAATTAGTTTCTCTTTCATCCTTTTTTATTTTACTTAAATTGTACAAGATTTTAACAAGACACACGGAGACATATGAACACATAGCAATGTTTGACATCATCAACTTCTTTTCCTTCTGGACACCGTTGCATCATCCTCATTATCATCACAAGGTTGGTCTAGTGGCGCACTGGTTATACGCTATTTTCCACTTTGATTGTCTGAATGGATATGTATATCAAGTGTGAGAAGTATAACTTAAATTGCTATTAAGATATGATCCCGTGCACTGTCCAACCTTTTATCACTGGTATGGTGAAAAGGTTCCTTGCCGATTGGAAGCGAGGATGTGACAATTTCGACAAAGTGCCATTTGAAGAAGGCAAAGTCCATTGTAAGCAAGGACACTCCCACCATCCACCCTTTAGCGTATTACTTATATTTGCTTCTTGAAGTCGCCTGGCAGGGTGTGGGCTCATTTGCATATAAGGTGTTTGAAGTGAAAACAACTCTGGGAGTTATCGCCCTTAGTTTAACCTGACGTGACACGACAGCGCTTTCTTGACTCTTGACTTTTAAAGTAAACGGACTTGTCTCCAAAAGCGCTGTATCACTTATAAGTTAGGAGCTGGGAGCATCCCTAGAGGGTCCAGTATGTAAACCGAACACCGCCATTCTTTACATTTTGTGTAAGAATTTGGTGAAATTTCGTTGTATTTACATATATCCCTTGTTGTTTTTCTTTTTTTTTTACCGTCACCGGTGTGTTGTGCTTGTGCACGTGATCGCCATTTTGGCAGCTCGTGGGAACAGGTGTACAATACAACGTGCTATTTTAGGATTTTATTATCTATTTTTTATCAAAGTTTTTTTGCCAATTAACAAAAGTTATACATAGCTGAACTACCCGAAAGTCTAGGTAGACTGCTGGGATTAATATTGGTATTTTGTTTCGTCTTGGAGAAGGATTCGATAGTACTGAAATGGTATTTTGACGTAATATTGAAGTTCGTCTTACCAATGAATGAATCAAATTGATCCCGTCAAGTGTATGTCTCGTCGTTTCGACAAGGCTATTTTTCGGTTTTGTTTCCTTAGATTTGTCGATCTGTTTTACCATTAGAAGGTAGGTAACTCGCGTTTGTTACATTTATCCTGATACGGTTTGTTAATGTAATAAATGGTGGGAGATAAATGTATCCCACAGATAAAGAATGTAAGATGTGAAAATACCTAATCATTATTAAATTTATTTCTTCATGGTGTTGTTTTATCTTAATATACATTCTCCAAAACGTATGTACATTTTTATCTACCTTCTATAGATCACATGTATTCGCCGATATTGTTTTCTATGATACGATTCGTAAGTGACCCCATATCGTTGTTAAAGTTTCATAATTTCATATGCTGATTCTATGTTGTCACAGATTTGGTATTCATTGGCAGGTAATTCAAAGATATATACGTTGGACGAATCAAAAACATCTTCGTCGAGTTTGGTGGTAGATCTTCCAAAAGACTATTGGCATACATCCGTCTCCTTGTTGGTTGGCTTATTTTTGTTTTTGCCTAAATTTATTGAAGAGCTGATCAAAACAGGTCACAAAGACCTTGCAAAGTCATTCAATTTTTTAGATATATTGATGACTTCTCTTATCTTTAAATATCAAGAAATGTATTGACTCGGTCTTTTCCTACAACGAAACTCGCATGGACAGTTTTCCACCAAGCTGTATGATGAACTTGATGATTTCATTTTTCCTTATATTTTTTTAATTTTCTAAATAGCAATATCTCTGCATCTCCAACCTACAGTTGATTCGATATTCAAGGGCCTGTTCCCATTATCACGATTTCCTTGCGAGACTGACGGGCAAACTAGTAACACTGGGTTCAAAAGATACAGCTTAATGAAAATTATGAGGAAGTTTTATGGTCGCCATAGTGATCTTATTGAGAAATATGATATTTCTTTGTAAGATATGACGCGGGATATGTTAGATGCTCGTTAGTGTGACTGTTGATTCTGTTGACGTATACCTTGTTCTTAATTCAGAACATGACATTACATACTTGGATTGACTAAGGTTCAAATTGCGGGTGCCGGCGATGAAGCAGAAGACGCTTTCCCTTCCGGAAGAGCTGGTCTTGTTCTCCTACTTTTTCAGGCGTCTCCGTGTAAATCTTTCTTCTGTTTTTACTTCATTTGAGTTCGGAATATGATTTTTGTTGCCATTTTGGTATTTTCTTAGAATACCATAAATCCGACGTCTGCACATCATCACGTCAACCATAAACCAGCAAAAAGGTAGTCCCAACTGACGGACTAGTGCTAATCCATAGATGTGCAGAGGAAATAAACAAATAAAAAAAATCTTAAACGAAATATATTTTTTGAACAAATGTTATATTCGTTCGCTAATCACATTGATTTAAACATGCATATATAAATAAAGTTGTAATGTTACATTAGATGGGTGTAATTTTATACTTTGACGTTAGTTGATGGCTGGTAAAGTTTGGTAAGTTTATTTCTTTATTCTTTTTTTATCGCGATTAAAAGATCAAAACCTTCAGAAAAAATTACACAGCACAATTTAATAATTCTATTTTTAAAGTCGAAAGTTATTTCAATACACAGACAACAAACATCATTTAAAAGTTAAGTTCACATAAAACACTATACTTGTACAGCTTGAAAGCGAACTTTTATTGACAATGTTCTGACTGTGTTAGTTACGAAATTTGGCGATAAGCTAGAGAATCCTAGTCTTCACATCAACAAGTGTCTCTTTTCTTTGTTAAGATACTGTATTGTAACTATTGAAATCCTTGTTTGACAAATAAACAATTTTTGTGCTTTTGCTTTTTTTACCCGAATTCCCCCTCCCCCTTCATCACCCCTTCCCCTAATTGACATTCAATGGAAGATATCTTGAATTAAAGTAAAAATGTCATTTAACGGACGCACGAGGCACATGCAATTTATCCAATATTTAAATTTAATTTTCCATGACGAGAAAAGTTCTCCGAAGAAATCATGCTCTTCAAAGACAATAAAAAGTACCAATCTGTTGACATAGTCATAATCCAGAGTCGGCTTAAAAACTAGGACAAAATATGAACTAAAAACCTATTTACACTGACACTTAAGAAAAAAAACTAGGTTAATATGACCAGTTGTTCTGAAAGGGTATGCGTTTTCTGCTTCATCAACAACATTCGCCATGTACATGGTGGTCAATTCAAGTAGGTAATGTCACGTTCCGAAATGGTGATAACGATAAAACCAGTACTAACGAATATAAAACACTTCTGACTTCATATCGCATAAGGAAAAAAATAGCTCCCA